GTGTGTGTGTGTGTGTGTGTGTGTCTGTGTGTGTGTGTGTGTGTGTGTGTGTGTGTGTGTGTGTGTGTGTGTGTGTCGTATCAACTAATTTTTGATCAATCTTTAGGATTGGGTGATAGAAATGTCAGCTTATGTAAAATCAATTGACACCAAACATCTAGTGGAAGTTGGCATGGAAGGATTTTATGGTGAGTCAATGCCCGAAAAGAAACAAAATAATCCTGGTTATGAAGTTGGAACTGATTTCATCGCCAATAATCTTGTCCATCATATTGACTTCACAACAATTCATCTATACCCCGACCAATGGTATATTCGATATTCACACACAAAACATACATTTATATGTACATATACACACACAAGAATACACATACTTTATTAACAATTCCATTGATCTTTGTCATTTTCCTTGAATATATAGGGTTCCTGGTTCAAACGACGAGGTACAAGCTGAATTTGTGCACAAGTGGATCCAAACACACATAGACGACTCCAAATCGGTGATTGGAAAGCCAATAATGGTGACTGAGTTTGGCAAATCTTCAAGATCATCGGGTTACAATGTGGAAGCAAGGGACAACTACTTTAGCAACATATTCAACAGTGTTTATAGTTGTGCAAGAACCGGTGGTCCGTGTGGAGGTGCACTATTTTGGCAAGTGATGGCTCAAGGAATGGGAGATTGGAGTGATGGCTATGAAGTTGTTTTGGAACAAAGCCCTTCCACTATTGGTGTCATCTCTCAGCAGTCTCGTCAAATCTCTTCTCTTAATCAAATTAATTAGTTATGTGATTAGTTAATTACCATTGTTTGGCCTAATAATAATGATAATTGGCCTCATTTTTAGAACTCAATCCAATGTCTAATGGCATTTATTATATTGCAAGAATAAAAATCCCGTTTTAGTATATATATCATTTTGAATCTTCAAATCAAATGTAGGTAGAGTATTGCAATCTTTCATGCTTACATTCTCAAGTTGATTATTATCTTGATATTACAAATATTATTGATTATCAAAAGACTTTGTATGATCAAACTCTATTAAGGCGGGGGGCGTGGGCCCCCTTAATTTTTTTTACTAATATATATATATGTATATATAATTTATTACCTTGTATTGTAAAACAATTTGATACACAGAAAATAAAATTACTGATTTTCAATTGAAAAAAATAAATAAAAATAATAGATGAGTCTAATAAGTTGGATAAGAAAGTTACAAATCGTGGCTTGGAAACCAGAGACGAGTCCACGGTTGGGCAAGGGTGGAGTAAAGCCAACTTTCAATTGAATAAACACACTATATCATACTTATATATTAATTAGTGCACGCAATTTTTATTGTTTAATCTACTCAAAATCCAAATTAATTCAGAAAGTCCTAAAATGGTTGTTTTTTTTTAAATCTTCTGCCTTTATTAAACCCCTCTTGCGTGCAAAGGAGAATAAAATAGCTATTGAGTTTCACATTATAAATAATCAAAGAAATTGTTAATTTTGAAACAAATTCCCTTAATACAGGAGGTTTAATTTTGATCATATATGTTAGGCTTAAAGAGAAACTGTTAACAGCTAACTACTAACTGTTATATATTTCCCTATTGCCAAGTTGTAAATCCATTTTTGCATCACCGGACAACAATTTATAGTTGTTGCTTTTTCTTTCCTTATGCTCTCCAAAAAAGATTTTCTTTATGGACCCCACTAAATTTCTCGTTTGACGCATGCTTTATCTTTCCTTATTCTATCGATTGTTTGCTAAGAACTCGTCGAGCGTACATTGTTAACATAACTAGCCGAGGTTGAACTCATGTATTTTCATTCGATAAGTTATGACAATTGCCTCGAGGTCAAACTCAATAGAAAAAAATCAGGCAGTCAAGTTCGATTCGCGAAATCGTTCGAGCTGGTATCTGGACTTGGTTGCTTATCAGACCAAGTTTATCAAACTACACAACTTTGAAAGATCAACGTTTTTAAACCGAACATGTGTTGGACTCGACTAGATTCGTTTCCCGCAACCATAAAAATTAAGAATCAAAGTGAAGGGATAAATAATAGAATGCAAATTACAAGGACATAATTTGTTACTCCATTCGTTTCTAAATATGTGTCGTATTTCGCATTTGATCAAAACTTAAAAACTCAATAAATATGTCTTGATTCTAGAAAAATATATATTGTTAGACAAAAATGCCCTTGTTTGTTAATTAATGCAGATAATAGTATTGGAGGGTTAATAAGGACTGGATTGAAAAAAACAAGTAATTAATGCATTATTTGTATTCCAAATTAGTGACATATAATATTAAATAAATTTTTTTTTAAAATAAGATATTATGGAATAAATAGAGTATTTCAAAGTTGGTGCATATTGTTTAATGAAATTTCTCTTATTTGAAAAAGAAAAAAAAAAAAAAAAAAAAAAGGGAGTTAATGTGCATTTTGAGTGGGTTGACTGTTGACTGTTGGGCTGTTGGCCCATTAATTATTTGGTACTCTAAAACGTTTTTAAATTTCTCTATTTAAATCACCAATCAATTTGATAACTGAACCGTCTCCGAGTTACACAGAGTTACAAATAGTGAAAGTAACATAAACAAAAACTATAACTCAAGAATAGATTAATTAACATGGCTTCTTCTTTCATTGCTCTTAACGGTTATTTCTATCCTACACCCGGTGAAAGTTACATCGGGTGATTTTTTACCGTTGATATAAACACACCAATGTGGATGTGTGTGTTTTTTGTGTATACGAATGGTAAAGATCTACCCAGTGTATTTCACCCGGTGTAGGATCTCAAAATCCCTCTTTAACATATATGGAACTTTATTTTCTATTCAAAATGACAACTTGCATTATTGTACTGTAAATAAAAATCAATATTAATTTATAAATATTTGAGATTGTATAATATTTAAAATGTTGGAGGATATTAATTTTCTTTATTAAATTTTAAATTCAATATTTTATATAGCTTTAACATAAAATTCGTATATCAAGTTGCTTTTAACAAAAAATAAAATGAAAATTGTCTCTATAAATCGGTTGAAATTGGTCTCCCTAAAATTTAACATAGGGCGGGAAAAGGTACTCATCAAATCGGGTTGAAATTGGTCTCCCTAAAATTTAACCTATTTTGCACAATATTTTGTAAGTTTAACTAGAAAATTGCGGAGTATATGCTATGTAACATGGACACGGAAATGTCGATACGGGGAAATGGGAAAACAGACATAGGAAAACGACATGTCTAGAAGTTGGGATATGAGAACTTGGGGGAAACGTGTAAATATTAAAAGTATAGGGGTATATTTATAAATATACTAAATAAACATTTATAAAATTATATATATATTTCGAACAATTATATTCAAAATAAATATTATTATCATCTATCAATTTGAAATTGATCATTAAATTATATAAATAATTAGGGAATCAACAAACATATTTGGAAATTTGCTATTTAAATACGTTTCTAACTTTTCAAAAATTACAAAATAGCCCATAAAGTGTTTGGCAGGTGTCCTCGACTCTGGGACACGAAATGCGTTCGAAATGCGGATACTTTAAGAAATTGAAGTTTCTGTGTTGCATTAAACATATGTAATGACTAATGTGAAGGAAGTTAATAGTTCAAATTTACAACCAAGATTGAAATCCATACATATATGGAAGCATAATTTAAAACAAATAAATATCAAGACAGGAATATAGAAAATAAAAATTAAAGAAGGAAACCGAAATCGAACTCCAAAATCACATTATAGATTTGAATCGACAAAACGTGGGAAGCCGTTTAATTCCTCTTTCATGCATCTTAACTTTTTTCCCATAACATATTCACAAAATCATTCAAACCAAAATCTTTTCATATGGTACATAAAATCATCATAACTTGAAATAATGTTACACCAAAGTAGAAATCAGTTTCGTACTACCAACACTCACCAAAAGCAAAATTAACCCATTCCCATTATTTAATTTTATTTTATTAATATGTGCAATTAAAATCTACCCCCCCATACTTTCTTGTGATTCTTCACTATACATCAATCCCACCCCTATATATACATACATGTATATATAAAAACACCAAGAACACACACACACACACATACACACACACAAAGATGTTGGGAAAGAGTGTTGCTATGAGTTTTATTTTGGCTGCCGTTTTGGTGGCTTGCGGCGGTGAGGCGAGGTTGGCGCGTGAGAGCTTTGTCGGGACAAGGGGGACTCAATTTGTGGTGAATGGGAGGCCATTTTATTTCAACGGCTTCAATTCGTATTGGTTGATGTATATGGCTTCGGACCCGTTGACTAAGGAAAAGGTGACGGAGACTTTTGCACAGGCTTCTGAGTATGGAATGAATTTGGCGAGGACTTGGGCTTTTAGCGATGGTGGCAATAGACCCCTTCAGAAATCCCCGGGCTTGTATAACGAGGATATGTTTAAGGTAATTGATGGAAGGAAAAAAATACGCACGTTGATTTTTAGTTGTTGCACTAAATAATTAATTGCGGTTTGGTCCTTTTTTAGGGCCTCGATTTCGTGGTGTCGGAAGCTAAGAAGCATGGGATTTATTTGATATTGAGCTTGGTGAACAATTGGGAAGGTTATGGAGGAAAAAAGCAATATGTGCAATGGGCTAGGGATCAAGGCCAAAACTTGAACAATGAGGATGATTTCTTCACTAATCCTATTGTCAAAGGATACTATAAAAATTACGTCAAGGTACTTATAACTTGTAATAACTAATGTTTTAAATGTATTTGGAAGAAAGAATACTCATTAATTACAATGTAAATTACAATACTAATTTTTCTTTTATGAATCAATAGAAAATATATTATTGTTAAAGTCTCGTTATAATTTTCTTTCGTTGATTATGGGATGACAGGCTGTGCTAACAAGAGTCAACTCAATAACTGGAGTGGCGTACAAAGATGAACCCACCATATTTGCATGGGAGCTCATGAACGAGCCTCGTTGCCAGTCTGACCTCTCCGGAAAATCTATTCAAGTATGTATCTCACTCAACTATGCCATAATACATTTGAGATTATATAATTAATGAATCCATTAATTCATTATCAATTCATTAGGATTGGGTTGCAGAAATGTCAACTTATGTAAAATCTATTGACGCGAATCATCTTTTGGAAGTCGGACTGGAAGGATTTTATGGAGAGTTTGTGCCCGGAAAGAAACAAAATAATCCTGGTGGTATTGAAGTTGGTACTGATTTCATCTCCAACAATCGTATCCTCCAAATAGACTTCACAACAATTCATATATACCCTGACCAGTGGTATATATTTCATTGCATTATTCATTCATAAAAGCCGCGCGCACACACATATAT